AACAAATTATTATTTTTAACTTTCAGGCCAAAACGACATAGTTTTGCTTAGCAAAAAATAAAGTTATCTCAAGTGACTAGAGAAATATTTTCCCTATATATATGACTTTATCGTTTCTCAAGTCATATGAGATATCTTTATTTTCGGCCACCCTAAAACTACGTCGTTTTGAGTGTTAGGAGAATTAATGAAGGGTGTTTTGATATTTTTGTTTGTTTATTTATTGGGTTTGTTTTTTCTGATGTTACTTTAGATAACTTTATCTAATGTTCATCGAAACGACGTCATTTTGGGACAGAAATCATGGTATTTTTGTAATTTTAATTTATTTCAGGGTTATAATAGTCTTTATCACTCTAATTTTTTAATTTTTCAACCCCAAAACGACGTCGTTTCGATGAACATTAGATAAAGTTATCTAAAGTAACATCAGAAACTTTTTCCCCTTATTTATTATATGAATTTTACCAAAACACCATTCATTAATTCTCCTAACACCCAAAATGACGTAGTTTTGGAGTGGACAGAGATAAAATTACCTTAAGTGACTTGAGAAATATGTTTCTCTCTCTCTCACACACATACATACATATATATATATATATATATATATATATATATATATGGAAAAAAAGTATAATGTTGTAGGAAAGTTGTTAGATTATGTTATATAAATATTGATGGTGGACCAATTGCTATTTCCAAAAAAGGAAAAAAAGTGTGAGACCCATCATCATTGTCTTTATAACATAACCTAATAATTTTCCTACAACATAACATTCATATAACCCATATACTTTTGTCGAGTCGGGGCTGAGTCCCAATTCAAAGCTTGATAAAACATGGTGATAGCTTGGGGGGGGTCGTCTAAAACCTCCTTGTCTTATTTTCGGAGAGGGCACCTAGCTTCCCGAAAGTATTATGAAAAGGGTTTTCAATCCATTGAAGCCCATTTTCACTGATTCTTCTCTCTTTTCGTCCAACCAAGGTCAATAAGTTGTTAGGCAATCCCACCTCCACTAAGTGAGAGTGAAGACGAGTTCTTATTTCTAGAACTTATCGGTTAAGTGTTGGTAAGTCTTTAAAATTATAGTAAAAAATTCCTGAATGAATTTTAATGAAAAATTAGTTCTAGATTTTTCATTTCTATTTCTCAGAGTGCATTAAACTGAATGTTAAATTTTAATAACATAATTGATGACTTAATTTTATAGGAGCTTAACTAAGAAAAATGGATAGAGTAGTCATATAACAGATGCCAAATAATAGTCACCAAGGCCAAATTGAGTAAGAAGGTTAAGATAAATAGTTAATTATTTTTGTTATAAATGAGAAAGTGTCTACACATCTTTTATATGTGATACTAATGAGTTAAAGAACTCACCTAAGTTTCACATTCAACTTCATAAGAGACCATTTCCTTTGTGTAAATAATGTAATACAAGGGTAACGCTCATTTCTAAAATTGCAAGTAAGTGTTTAAGAGATATATAAAGCACGTGTAACATCAAAGGACACAACTATTAACACAGTAACACTTTGCACACAGCACTTTCAAGGAAGCATTTGGTATATTTACTATTTTTATTTACAGTTATATATTTTCTGTTTTTATCATTTTTTAATAAAAATTTGAAAACATGAAATGAAATAAAAATACACTTATTAAAAATACAAACATAAAAAAATACACTACTTTAATTTTCCAAGTTCTTTGCATAAATCTTTTTTCTCGTTTTCTATATAGTCAATTCTAGCATACTTTGTTTTTATTTTATCTTTTTGGTTTTAAATTTCAAGTTAATTCACAGATCATTTATGATATAAATCGGTATCTTTGCGTCGCATCTATAAGTAACTTGAACGGAGTTTCTCCAGTTGCAGACTGGATGGTCGTCTTGTATCCCCCATAAGACAAATTGTAGCTGCTGGACCCAATGTCCGCAATTGGTGCAGCTATACCAGTCCGGGTTGCACTTGCGGGTTCAACGTTGGTGTTAAGGCGGGTATCCAAGATTGCATCGCTGATGCGAATCGTGTTGTAGTCAAATATTGGTTCATCGCCTAGGTTAGGCTCATTAACAGGTTGCTCCACCAATACTGGGTTGGCCGGCGGCGGTTGCTGGTAGCTATTACTTCTTGTATTCACAATATTGATTGTGGGTAGGAGTTTATTCTTTCTCAGATATAGTGCCAATGTTCTGTTCTTGTGCCACAGGTATCTGGTCAAAGACTAGTATGTTAATTTTGAATCTAGAAACTCTCTTGTGCATCTATGAAAAGATCGTTGTGCATTGGGAATAATAACTTTATCAAAAGGATAATGTGTGTGTAAAGTAATTACATAACAATAGTAGGATGGGAGAGTGTCCATAGCTACGGATTTTATCTTTTATTAATAGGATTTACTCGTGAGAATTGAAATTCTGGACCTTATAGGACTCTTTGGAGACCCATTTTCACTGATTCGAAACTAGAACATTTTTGCTTTTACTTCTCATTCTGTAACTTTCTATTTTGCTTTTTTTATAAACTATTATGTAAGACAATTGTATTGTTTAAGCTGATGGAAGTCGCATAGCTGGTGCATTAATACTACAGATTCATTTAAATAGGCTAAAAACGAGCCAACTCACGAGTCATTTTTGAGGCCACCCTAACTCGGCTCGGGTTGGATTGGGTTGAATTTTCTAACTCATTTTTTTTTGGGTTATATGCGGGTTGGACCAGGTTGAGCCGGGTAGGCCCGTTTTGCCAACCCTACTCATAATCAATAGAAGAGTGTAGAGCACGTTGACTCTTTGGATGAATTCCGCTAGCTTAACACTTATGGGGCGTTTGGTACAGGAGAAATTTTTTTTTGTCCTGAAATCTCAATTTTCAGAAATATGATTTTTACATTCAATTTATGATAATATCTGAAAATTAAAAATTTAGGGGGGGGTGTATTGGATTAGGATTTTAAAAGACTTTTTTGAGATAAAAAATCCTACAAATTTTAAAAGACATTTTAGAATTGGAGAGACTTTAAAGACTTTTTTGAAAGACTTCTTTTACAACCAAGATTTCGTAAGAATGAATTTTAAAGGATTTTAATAGAATTTATAAGATTTGAAAGGACAATATGAATATATAAGATTTTGAAAAATCATATGAATTTTTAACAAACATTCAAAATTACAAGAGTCAATACAAAAGGTAAAGGTTATACTTACAACCTATTTTTATTTACAATATTTTACAACCATATCTTAACCGTTGATTTCCGTCAATCATCGGTTATCATTCATTGCAAATTAAATATTAATTAATAAATTTGATTTACGAAAATAATAACTATTGATTGACGGAAATCAACGATTAAGATATGATTGTAAAAGATTGTAAACAAAAATAGGTTGTAAGTATAATCTTCCCTATAAAAAAATAACAAATAAATGCAATGAAATTAATAAAAAAAAGTAAAACCTAATATAATTTTCTCAATCAGTAAAACATAATATAATTTTTAACAAACATTCAAAATTACTAAACAATAGCTTTTCACATATCTAATGAGTCGAAAATTATCTTCTTCATTTGGTATCTAAGCTATGCATATATGATTATAAGACCCAATTTTTTTAATTATAAAAGTAATTCTAAATTTGCATATAGAACCTAAAGTTCATGATAAAATTTCGTTTGAAATTTTTGCAATTGATCTTGAAAACTTTGGGGTTTTTGAAATTTTCTAACCATATGAATCTGAAATTTTGAGTTTAATTACATGAAAGTTTAGAAAATTTCTCAAATTTTTTTAATCGATACATTGAAACCTTAAATTGCTCTGGGACTTTTCATAAATAAGCTTTTAGTTATCTATTGACACAAAATTGTTTGAAATCGTTTGCTATAGTAAAGGAATTTCGTTCTGTTATGAAATATAGGGTTCATATTATGAAAGTTTCAATCTTTCTTTAAATTGATATTGTTTCATTGATGTAAAACGAAAATTGGTTTGGGGATTTTAGTTTCCCTGTTATTTTTCCACTGTTTTATGTTGTTTTTAATACAAAAATCACACGTTTTTATGCCAAGAAAAACCGCGACCAATAGCTTGAAAAATTACTCTTTAAACTTCCAAAATTTCTCAAAAATGGCTGAAAAACATGTTATTTTTGAGATAGATTATATTAAAATCTCGCTGATTTGTTGTAGGTTATTTTGTGATTAAAATCGCTAAAAAATATGCTCTTTTTTTTTAGTTTTGACGAAGCTCCCATGGTGGAACCCAATTTTCGAGCAGTCAACCTGCCAAGAGAAGAAGAAACACTGCAATAGAAGAATATCAAGAAATCATAGGGGTTGGGATGAGATTGTGAGAGTGGCATCCTATTTATATTTTTCACTAAAAAGTCTCACGAAATCTACACCAATAGAAAATCCATTAAAATCGTCGGATTTTTGATTACCACGAGATTTTGATTCCATTGTTTAATATCCTGATTGAATACCAATGGATTTGGACAAATTCTAAAATAATCCTTTAAAATCCTAATTGAATACCGCGTGACTGTTTTTCAATCCATTAAAATCCTAATCGAATACCAACAGATTTTTTTCTCCAAAAATAATCCATTAAATTTTTTTTGAAATCTCAATCCAATACACCCCTCTCAATCAAGATTTTTTTTTTTTTTTATTTATATTATTTTATTTTTCTATTTTTTTTCTTGGGTCTTCTAAATTACGGACCTCATAATTAGAAGGATTACATCGAATATTCTGAATTGGAAGAATAAAACGATTTTTATGAGCACATAATTGAACTAACGTAGCTTCATCTGCCATCCAACCAATCCACGTGTACGATCACAGTAGTCTCAGACCCAACACAAAGGCCATAGGTCCCCTCTATCTGAACATCTTAAATTAGATTATAGATTACTGTGCTACGTACACTGTCCTCTAATCACTCTCTGTCTCTCTCTCTCTCTTCCTCAAATTATTATTATTAATTTTTTTTTTTTCATCCTTTGTCGTCTTCTCATTGCCTCTCCTCCCTTTCAATAATAATTTAATAAAAGAAAAAGGAAAAGAAAAAATTAATTGAAGGAGGAAGAAGAATCATCACCATCGTCAGAGTTAACGATTACCAATCAAACCTCAACTTCTGCGTTACCCACCCATTCGAATCCAGGGATCTGCTTCTGGTAAAAATTTCTCCATTTCAAATCTCCTCTATTCCTTGTTTTCATCTTAACATCAATTTCCGTCGATAATGCTTATGTTCATCGTGATTATGCTTATAAAAATCCTCTCTTTTTTTGGGTTAGAAAGATGAATGAATTCGAGTTTTTCCGTTCGCAAGTTCTTGCATCCCTTTAATCGGTTCTGGTGGTGGAGGATCGCGTAGACCCATTAGGTTTTTAACCTCAATTTTGCTTCTTCTTTTTTTCCACCCTACCCTTTTGAAATTATTAAATCGATTCGAAGGCACATCTTCCGTTTCTTCTAATTTTAATATAAATTTTAATTCTTTTAGTTTGGATTAGGCTATTTTAGTTTCTCTGCTGGATTGGGCACTATAGTAGTCTATAAAGCCTAGGAATGTAGGATTAGGTATTAATTTGTTTCACTCTTTTGATGACCTGGGTGATCTTTATCCTCGTCTATTCTGACCTGATTACTATCAAGTTCATGTAGTATCTTTTAGCTTTCGTACTTAGGATGCTGACATTTGAGTGATGCATTATTGGCCTCTTTGGTATAGGTGAGAAATGAGGGTGGAGTAAAAGCTTTGCATTGAGACATCTTGAACATCTTAACACTTCTAAAGATTTTTGATAAAGACTATCTTTTGGGATATTTTGTTCTTGGCATTATGTCAAAGCCTTTTAAACCAAACTGTTTCAACCCTGTCTTTGTAACTAAATAAAATTCTCAGAAGTGGCATGTGGCCATTTCCTAAGAGCTTAAACTTTTGAAACAATTGATTCTTTGACAAATACATGATATAATTTCATCACTAATCCTCTTAATATGTGCATTTACTGAGCAAATTTCCAAGCTCCTGCTACTGTCCTTACTGTAAGATTATTTAAACTACGGCATTTTGTCACTGAACTTGTTGCTCAATCAACCTGTCTTTAAGACTTTGGTATGATATTATTTCAGAGCAGCCCTGTCCCACCCCCACCAGGTGCTTTGTAGCTTCTATATAACAAAAAGAAATTGACATTTTTGTTCTGCCTCTACCATAAGTTTCATAGCACTGTGGCTACTAGTATCACATCTTATTTAATTTAAGTGTATCAAGGCATGCATCAGTGAGGAACATGCCAGTTTATTACAGTCATCTTGCTTGGTATGCGGGGTATAAAATAGTCTTGAAAATATTCAGTACTCAACATAATATTGAAGTAGTGGGTTTTCTTAGTGACAAGCTACTTGTGAAAAGTTTGTTTTCTTTCTTTTCTCGTTTCTCTTCAGTCTAGATCTCCTGTTGATGATGAATGTGCTCCTTAGCACTGAATCAGACATGAATGGTCCAAGAAGAATACATGTTTGAGCTTTTTGGACTAGTTTTATCTGATTTGTGTTACTGGAGCAGCTTTAGGCTTTTTGGTGAACTGTTTTACTCTCTTATGTTTATATATGACACCTTATTTTATTGCATTTATTAAATAGCTAAATTCTGATTGTGTCTGTGGCAAGGCATGCTATACTCTTTAGTATCATGGTCAAAGGTGTCGTCTGCAGGTTATATATAGGACTCTTTGCGCAGCTTGCTCATAGCTTGAGATTTGAGAACCTAATATGAGTTTTCTGTTGATCAATTTAGGTTGGATAGCTTGATTCTAATGCATGGTCAAAGGAGGACTATTGGGTCCTTCCCAGCAATTGATAGTATGAAGCAAGGGCCTGGTTCTAGTAGCACTGATATGAATCGTCAGTCTTCCTTGAATCATGTGCAAAATGCAGTAGATTTCCGTTTGTCAGATTATAGAGGGTCTTCTGGTGAGACTGCATGTTTACGTGGTACTGGTCCTAATGCTCAGAGCTTCAGTGGCTGGAATTCTGGTGAACCTAGTTCAAGACTGAATCTGATCAACCAAATCAATGATGAAGGTCTGAAACCAGAACATGGGCTTTCTTCTTCATGTAGTGCTACTGCTGAGGATGGTCCAAGACCTGAGGAAAGGCAATTTGAACCGAATAATGGAATTTTTCCTGTTAGTTCAAATACTAATTTACATGGGAATCACTCTAGAATTCACCCTTCCCTTTTGCACGGTTCCAGCCCTAATCATATAACCCAGAATATTAGTCTGGATATGGGGCACATTGCTAGCACTGCTGATCGTGGGAAGGGCAAAGAAGCTGGTAGTGGTGTTAATAACAATTCTAATGGATTAGATATAGAGAAGACATCATTTGGCAATGCTTCATATAATCATTTAGGAACTCCATCTGAAAGTTCTGGATACATGGCTTTGGGAGATAGTGCCAGTTCAAGTTCTTCTTTAGTTAATTGGGGTCCTTCCTGCAAGAGAAAAGCCCTTGAAGGTAGTTCGAGGCAACTGTGTACTGGAGGAAGCTCAATCTCTCTTGTACAATCTGAAAATGGTTGCTGGCCTACTGCTCCTGTTGATCTTAATGCTTCTAGCAGTTTAAGTGATTCAACACCTCTTGAGGATATTCCTGTTAATAGTCCTCCATTACAGCAGAATACAAGAAATGAAGTGAGACAAGAAGCTTCGAATGCATTTCCTTTGATAAGTGTTGCGGAAAATGTGGAAAGACCTCAGAGACATTTTGAAAGGAGAATAATCCAACTACAGCATCAGGAACTTGTACCTCTCAATTTACCATCAACAGGGAGTGCTAGGCATCATAATCATTCTTCTCTGCATCAAATACCTGGCTCTCACTCATTTAATGATGCTTTGGAATTGAGGTTAACAGCTGGAGTAACAGCTGCTAACTCTGGTGCTCCTCAGAACCAGTCACCTGCCCTACACATGCATCCTTTTCCTTGGAATAGAGCTGCTAATCCTAGAGGGGCCAGATCTTCAATTACCATGGAAGAATTTAATTTAGGAATCTTTCCGAGAGATAGTACTGAGCACCCCATGAATGTGCCTGCATCTTCAGGTCATGAACTTACAGGTTGGCATACATCCTCTGGTGATGTGAGCAATTCTGGAGGTGTACCTACTACATCCTGGATTGGATCCAGTTCAAATGTCCACTCATTACCTAATCCCAGCTGGAGTTTTAACCATGAAGTCCCAACAGAACATCTTCAGAGAGTGTCAGAGTTCAGTCCTTGGTCCCTTTTCCCTTCATTAAGCTCAGCATCTGGTGTTCATAATGGCCATTCTACCCAATCTCCTTCTGGTCCTCCTTCATTTACTCAGGGTTCTAGCAACAATCAATCATATCTAAGAATGTTGATGGAAAGAAGAGGTAGTGATGTTTTCTCTTCTCCTCATTCACTGCGAGCATTAGCTGTTGACAATGAGGGGAGACGCCGACTAATATCTGAGGTATTATCACTATTTGTTTTCCTTTTTACAAAATATGTGGTGCTATTACTTGAAGGCTACGCCATGCAGGTATGGTACTTTTAGTATAAAAATATATTCATATGGCCAGGATTCAGAATTTAGACAACGGGAAATATGTTTCAGAGAATAAATAGTACAAATTTTCACAAATTCATACCATTGCTTGATAATACTTATGATGGTAATATAATTTCCTTGTGCTGCCTCATCTTTTCATAATTTTGCAGTTTCCTTATCTGCAAAATCGCTTATTTGTAGCAGCCAACTAAACAGCATCTTGAATTCTTGATAAAGTGAAATTTGATCAAGAAGTTAGCTAAATTTGGTGCCACTGTTAGTTCTACTTTGTCTCACTATCTAGTTGTTCTTTGTGCCAGATTCGCCAAGTCTTGACTGCAATGCGGAGGGGTGAGAACTTACGAGCTGAGGTTCGAACTTAAGTGTATAAACATATTTCTTTAGAGTTTATGACATTCATACATTGCGTTGTGAAATCAATATTGGAGGAATATTGTCATTGGTTGATGTCACTTGATGGTGTTTCAATGTACCTATTTCTTCATCTTGGGGAGAAACTCTTCTAAGGGTGAAATACTCACGTTAGGATTGGGTTAATAGTATGTGAGCAATTATCACCACTAGACCCCATTAATTGAATGACAGGTGAAGGGAAAGTTTAACCAAAAAAGCTGGTTACATCTTCGGTGTTTATATATTTTTTAGATAAAAATTTACCTTTTTTTGTTCACGATTCTCTTCAAATTGGCATGTTTGTTCATGTATATATTTAAGTTGCAATAGAAATATTTGCTTTTGAAGCAAGCACGACAAGCCTGTTAGCTTCATCAGGCAATGTTCTAGTGGACATCTCAATACTCGACTATTGAGAATGCTAACTTAACCTTTTCCTTTGACACTTGTAAAATTTCAGGATTATATGGTCTTTGACCCTTTCCTATATCATGGCATGGCTGAAATGCATGACAGGCATAGAGAAATGCGCCTTGATGTTGACAACATGTCTTATGAGGTAAAATATATATGGTATTCCCATCCATCAGCAATGTTGCTCTCTTTTATTTCTTCTGACTTGGACTGGGATTGCAGGAATTGTTGGCATTGGAGGAACGTATAGGAGACGTGAGCACTGGATTGAGTGAGGATATCATTAATAAGTTGTTGAAACAGCAAATTTATGTGTCTGTCATGGCAGAGTCTACTACAAATCTGGAACCTTGCTGTATCTGTCAGGTACGAGTCATGGCTGTCTCAGCTAGTAAAAGTAAAAAGGGGACATGAAAACAGATATAATGGCGCTTCTAACTTCTTATGAGCTTGATACTTACTTCATTTTTCTTGTTCTCCGATGATGGCAGGAGGAATATGCTGATGGAGAGAATGTTGGTTCACTAGATTGTGGGCATGAGTTCCACAGTAACTGCATCAAGCAGTGGCTAATACAGAAGAACATGTGCCCCATTTGCAAAACAACGGCCTTAGCTACATGATGGGGAGAACCTCTTCTGTCAGTTTGATATTTAGCTGGCTCCTTGTATAACTTGTTTTGCTTGATGAACTTCCTCTTTCTTAAAGAGAACAGGACCTCTCATCTGTCAGGATTGGTGACAAAAACATACCCAAAAAAAAGAAAAAAAGAAGAAGAGAACAACAAACATTGGTGGGTGAACAATAGTAGAGTTTCGTTTATACTGTCGTAATGGACAATTTACATGTCGTTTATGATGCTACAAGCACTTGAACTTTGTTAAATTTCATTACATATTAAAGACCGGTGGCTTCGGGAAGATTATTTCGATTACCGCGGTTGCTTACAACATGCAAAGAAGATAGTCTTGTTCTGTTTCTGTTTGATTCACCTAGTTTCACTTAATGCCAGTTTCAACTAGCACTCAAAAGAATACCAAAGTTGAGCACACTGCTTTCCAACGTGGTTCAGGCAATATATATATAGGAACATCGATCAAAGTGTCATTTTTTGGTAATTTTTTTTACTTAAATGTCACGTGAAGAGTACTTTTTAGACGTAATTCGTTACTATTGGTAGCGAATTAGTAATTTGCCACGACTGGTAGGGAATTATGTTCGCCAATTATTTTGTGACACGTGTCACATTTTTGCAAAATAAAGCTGACCGGACGTAATTCGCTATTAGTGGTAGTGAATTTGGTACACAATGTCGTCATGTGTCACAAAATTATTGGCGAATATAATTCGCTATAAGTCGTAGCTAATTACGTCGCGTGATAGTCTGATAAAAAGTACTGTTTGCGTGGTATTTGGATAAAAAATTTACTAAACAGTGACACTTTGGTCACTGTTCCATATATATAATTTCCTTATTATTGCTACTTAGAGAGTCGTGTCGTAGTTTAATTTAACCGGTTAGTACTTATTTGTGATTTATTGACAATCTTACTTGGCAATTTACACTTGGAGTTGGAGCAAACCATTGACTATCTTGTGTGTTATAATTTTTGGAAAACTTAGCTCAAGCCTCAAAGTCCCTAGAGAAGGCAACTGGGAAGAGGATTTTTTTAATTCTGACTGTGTAATTATTTGTGGGTAATTTAAAAAATTAAAGCTAAAATTAATTGATTCGGAGTGTAAAAAATCAGAATCATTTATAAGGACAGTTTGCTGTCAAATTTATTTGAAGTAAATTGTGAATATACAATATGGAAGAATCAATAGTCACACAATTTTGTTTTAAGATAAAAAGTTGTACGGAGATGGTAAGTTATTTCAATCAAACGTGCATGTCACATAATCACACAATTTTCGATATTGTTTTAACATAATTAAATAATAACTTGTGTAAGTTGAGCTTATTTTATTATCTCTTAGCAAACCAGTAACATTACGGCTAATTCATTTGCACCAAAACGTGGGCAGAATGCAGTTCTCAATTATGCAGGAACCAATGCACCTCCTTAGTCTTTTGATCCTCTTGTTTCTGAGCCAACCAATTTATATATGCTTGAAGCTTCTGCTCCTGCATTGTTAGAACAACCCCGATATGAAACCGTAGTTTGTATGTTCCTAACTTGATTGTGTTTTGTACTTGTTTCATAAGCAACGTTCGTATTTGTGGCCTTGTACCCGATACTACTATCTACACGGATGATGAAACCACCACGTTTCCTATACTGTTTTTTCTCTCAAAAGTAAAAGAGAATCTGCCGCTTTACAATACTATCATTATTTTCCATAGAGAGTGACGTGTAGAAAACATTTTAGAACCATCATAGTTACTAGTTAGTAATCAAATGTGCCCGATTACCTAGTTCACTTTTAAACCGAATACTGAATATATAATAATTATTTGTTCTTTAACGATGATTAACATGTTAAACAAGTCAAGGAAAGTCCCAATTTTTCTTATCAAACGGAAGTAGAAGATGCAAACAAAGCATAGACAAAGCTGTTTCAGAATAGCCACTTTGCGTGTTGCGTTTTTCTTGATTTGGATGGAACAGTTTCGAACAAACCATTTAGAAGCTTAGAGTGTTGCAAGACTAGCTTTGCGTTTTGTTGAGTAGTTTCTACTTTATAGAGCCAAAGGTGCTACATATAATGTATATACCATCAAACCAGCTTCGTTTTAACCGCCAACTTTTCCGCTTCATAAAAACTCAAAGCGAATAAATTGTCATGTAGTTGTGGCCACACCCCACAAGCTTAAATATCATTATTATAATTAAGATTATACAATTTTTTATATTTGCTTTATTTTTTTGTCACTTCTAGGGTACATGATGTTTGTTAAGATATAACATGTACGCAAACCGCAAGCCTGCATTCAAAGCCTAATTTTATGTACATAAAATAAAACATTCGTATCTCACATATGCTATTATTGACATTTTTTCTCTTCTCTCTCATCCTTTTCATCCATAACATCATTGGTTTTGATGAAGGGTTTATGAGGTATAAACACGTTTTTTTTTTTTTTTGTGTGTGTGGGTATAAAGGTGCACATTTTTAAATGTGCATATAACATTATTCTTAATTATATATAGCATATATATCTTCAATTTTAACTTTATGTATTTATAAGTAAATTTAATTGTAAAATGTATTATGAGTTGTTGTCTGTTGTCTCTTTTACTCTTGTTTAAGGTAATGAGACACATTTAGCAAATGTCAATAAATTTCCTTAACTAGTTGGCAAACAAAGGTTTTCCTTAAATTGTTTTTCTTAGAATATATTACTACCAGACTACACTAACATAGTTATAAAAACTGGATGGGCATGGCTTGTTAGTTTGAGGATAAATTCATTTCATATTCAAAATAGTTTTTAATTCAAATATTTATTTTAAAAAGCTTTAAATAAATTTTTTTTTAATAAATTAATGAAAATTAACATACACTAATTAGTTGATACAATTAATGTATTTAATTACTTTAATTTCAGTCAAATTTCATGATTTGAGTACATTAAAGTATTGACCGGTTTCAATTGAAAAAATTCAACAATGAAAAAAGGAATTTGATTTTCATGATGCTTAAAATTTCTTTTATACATTTTTTTAAGGGTTTGATGTTTGTCCGTTTAAAGGACATAAGTTATGTCATTTTAGGAGAAAGATAAACACAAAAAATAAAAATCATGGGGAAGAAAGTGAGTGTTTTTTTTTTAATTTAAATTTTAAATAAAAAATATTATTGTGTCTATCTCTTTTAAAATAACATAATTTTATGCCAATTAAAATGATAAATACTTTTTTTTTTAATCAAACGGAACATTAATTTGAACCGATGATATGAAGGCCAATACTGCTAGTTAAGCTGTTACTCAAAAATAAAGCTGAATGTAATCTATAAGTTACTCAGAGAATGGTGACAAAAAGAAACTAAATCATCATTACATTCACTCTTAACGTTAGCATCCTTTCTTCTCATTAAGAAGGTAGTTGAGAGTGTACTCATTGCTTATACTATATAACAACAAAGATGGTTACGGGAATTATTTCACTGCTTAGAAAGACAATACGAATAAATACTTTTTACATAAATTAATAAATAAAATTTATTAGTTTGAATCTACACCTTTAGAATATTTAGATTATCTAAATTAACGCATGAAAGAAAACCTATAAAATTAATAATATAAATTAATATTCATTAATGAAAACAATAAAATATGTCAACTTTTAAATGTGCATTTGTTTAGAGAGATCAGGTCCAAAGCACCAGGAAGATAAGCTCAAGAAACAAATAAGTACAAATAAGTACATACAGGATTGACACACAAATTATATAAAATATTCTTTTACTATAAAAGAAACAAAAGACTTGTTGTGAGGAGAGAAAAATAAAAGCAGATACCAATTAAATTTAGTGTCACTTAAGACAAAAGTATATAGTAAAATATTCTTTAATATCATAAACTTCATAAATGTAACATTTTAAAAATTACCATATAAGTGACAGGGGTAGAAGAAATTTAGATAAAAATATTTTTTAAAAAAAAAAACTGGGTTGAAATTCTCATAAACATAAAAGGAAAAATATCACTGCCCTTCCATCTTAAGAGTTGGACCAAATCTTTATTCTTGGCAACACAATGATAGGAGATGTCTTAAAATTTATCAAAATTTAGTTTATTTTAAGAATTTTTTTTCTCTTAAATATTTTGATTATATAAGCTTTTTAAAATTGAAATAAGTTACACTAAACAAGACGTCCAGGAAAATGATGTGGGACCCAGATATGAGAGAAGAAAGTTTTGTTGTACGCGGTGATTAGATTATCTGTATTTGTAGATATGCAAAGTAACGCCCATTGCCTTATGATTATATTTTGGTGTATTCTTAGCTAACCTCGTCATTTTTCTTTTCCTTTTTCTATTTTATATATATATTTAGGAGCTTCAACTAAACTCTGTCACCTTTGTATATACGAATCCTTCAATCTCTGCCTCAATCTCTCTGTCTCTCTCTAATATGGCCATGACTGAAGAAGATCAAGGTCCGCATGATCAGATGATGGGTACCATGTGTGAAACCCAATCATGGGGTCTCTCCAATTGTGAAAACACAGGTGGAATCAAAGAGAATTCAACCGTGAAGCCTCTCAACCAAGGAGATGGAGGAAATGAAGGAGAAGCTCTCATGAATAATAAGCGAAGCCGAGGGAATGCTAGTGGAACTGAGAAGAATGTTGTTATTAGTGGTGAAGCAAGACATGGAAAGCGTCTCGAATCTGAGCATGAAATGCATATATGGACCGAGAGAGAAAGGAGGAAGAAAATGAGGAATATGTTTGCTAGTCTTCATGCTTTGCTTCCTCAGCTTCCTTCTAAGGTAAATTCAAGTTGATTTCAAGGTTAAATTTGATATAATTTTATTCTGTTTTTTTTTTTTATCAAGATTTTCTCTCTGTTAATTCTTGCATGACATGACTCTATATATATTCTTCTTTTGGATTAATTAGTTTATATCTTTTGTAAAAGGAGTATGCCTTTTTTTCACCATAAAGTTTATCTGTATATGTTGTATGTCATGTTCATTACATTTCCTTGATCTTTATCCAGTTTGGGGAGTTAGGAAATAAAGAAAGGACACAAACCTCTGTACTTCCATGTACTTTTTCTTTCCTTATCAGATTCAAGAAAATCATAAACAACAATTTTCTAGTAGTATTCTTTTTTGTGTTTTATATAAAAATTCAAACAATATATATAATATAATAAAACAAAAAGCAAGAGAATGCCTATGAAACTACAAAAGATTTTTTCCCCCTTGTACATGAACTTTTAAGATCCCTTATCTAGTGTTATTGAAGGGCACAAGAAAAAATTCAGTCCTTACAAGGGCTATAAACCTCCTTATGGGCTGGTACGATGGCTTAAAGGGAATATCAAATTATGGTCGCAACAAATAGTTTGACTATATCTCTTAAAATGGAAATCTTTAGGTATTGGCCTCTCTGCATTTAAGTTTTATGTATTTCATTCCCAACCAAATAATTTGAACAAAGAATAAATGAAATCTCTTGAAAAAAAATCCAAATAGAATGAATAAAAAAATATTTTAGTTATATTTGTGTAATAGATAATTTGTTTAATAACCGATTCATTAATAATAAACCATCTATGTAATTAAAATACTGGATTATTGTTTCATGTTATAGGAGATAAATTTATTTCCTACACATATATAAAAATGTGCGTCCCTCATATTTTCTATTTTTTTTTCTTCTCCTTAGTTGGACTCACATGAACCCCACCCATTTTTATGTACGTGTAGAAAATAAATTTATCTCCAACAATATATGTGTCTCGCATATTTTTATGTGTGTGAAAGAGATAAATTTATCTTCTACAACATGAGAAACATTAAATACTTAAAATACATTTGATTACAATTTTGTTTTGATCCGAAAACGGTACATACGTTAGGTATCATATGATAGATATAACACGCATGATGTATGTTAGCAATAGTGCCGCCGTGAAGAGGATGAGCTTTAGCCTCGACTCAATCGGTGGCAATCCGTTCTCATTGGCACATAAATAGAAATGAAGGATGAACTTTCCCTATGGTGGCGTTGTAGCTAATATGTGTTGAGCACATCATGTCCATGCATCACGCTGTGCACAAAGTGCAACAACACCATGATGCCGTTTTCACTAAGCATCACCATCATGCATTGCAACTTGTTATACAAATTTTTTTTTTTATAACAACTTGTTATACAAAATTCGATGTAGCTCCGATATGAGAAGAGAAAATGATCATTTTATTTATGATAAATCATTATGAATGATTGAGATCTTCTCAAGATATAAAAATATGATCCCCTAATTGTGAATGGTTTAGTAGAGAACACATAAAAATATGATTCCCTAATTGTGAATGGTTTAGTAGAGAACACGATAAGTATCTTATTATTATTATTAGATTACTATTTTTATTTTTATTTTTATTTTTATTTTTGTTGTTTATATTACTAAAGTTAAAGTGAATGGGGTATTGGGAAATAGGTAAAAAATAATAATTTCAATATATCACTTTTTTATTATAAATTTTTGAAAAACTATAATAAAAGAATTTCTTTTGTATTAAAATAAATAGTTATGACCACGAGTAAAACTTATTTCTATCCAAATATGACCTCATATTCACCAAAAATAAAAATACCCACCTCACGAGTCACGACAACCAATGCATTTAAGTTTAGGTAAAACAAAAGATACTATTACACCATAATATAAATCATTAAAAAAATCTTCACCCAACTTTTTAAGATTTTGAATTGAAATGATTCTTTATACGATATTAAAGTTTCGGTGATCACAAAGTCATGAGTTCGATCCTCACTATTCCCATTGTCGAGTGAAATTAAAATAAACACAAGGTAAAATTAAAAATATTGGGCTTGTGCAATATCCATACTTCAAGCCCAAAGAGCTTTTATATGAGGGGTGTGTTAGAGCATAATATAAACCATTAAAAAAACCCTCACGCAACACCTTAAGATTTTGGGTTGAAATGTTCTTTACATATACTTTAATTTTGATATTTCGAATGAAAATTCAATACTATTTATTTCTTTTTTGTTGAGAGTGAGATAATTAAAATATAAATGCACATAGACGAGTACAAAAAGATTTCTATTTTAGGAATGCGGTCAAACTGTTTGTTCTTACCATAATTTGATTGTTAGGGGAAACCGTGGCGGGTGACTACTGCCAATGAGCTAAGTTTAGTTCATTCACATTAAGTGGATCTGACACCATGTTTCAATATAGCAAAGAGGAAAAAAAAAAAAAATTCTTCAAAGATTTTTGGAAAATTACAATAAATGGATTTCTTTTATTTTAAAGTAGAATGATTAGCATGAGTAGAACTTATTTCTACCCAAATATCCACCTCAATGACAACCACCACACTTAAGCTTCGGTGGAACAATAATATGTTTTCTAAGATTCTTTGATTTTGATCTTTTGTAGGCTGACAAATCAACCATTGTGGATGAAGCAGTGAGCTACATAAAAAATCTAGAGCAAACTCTGGAGAAGCTAGAAAAACAAAAACAAGAAAGGCTCCAATCTGTCTCCACTTTTGGGTGTGAGTCATCTGTGATGAACTCGCAGTGGCATCCTTATGATTCAAGGCAAGCATTCATTACTGCTAATCAGGGACCTTCTAACAATGTGTCCAGTGCAATGGTTACTTCAAATCCTTCAAATTCACTTTCATCCCCTGAGCAGCCCATAGCTTTTCAAACTTGGACTTCTCCGAATGTAGTATTGAACATTTGTGGAGATGAAGCACAATTCTGCATATGGGCAGCCAAGAAGCCAGGCCTCTTTACCACCATTGCTTTTGTGTTGGAGAAGCACAACATAGATGTCATCTCTGCCAACATTTTGTGCAATGGTAATGGAAACGGATACATGATTCTAGCCCGTGTAAGTTTGAAACTCGATCACCATCTTATCCTTCTCTTAATATGTTTTGCATGCTTTGTGGATTCTATTTAGGTAATGTATCAATTGTTTTTGATTCAATGTCATTGGACTTCTCATTGATTTCCTGAACCAATAATAATTAATCAATGATTCTCTTATAATCAGGTTTGCTAGCTCCATAACTTGACATAACATTCTATATATAGTTACATTTACGGAAAAAGTGTGTCATTTTAAAAGATGTAAAATTATGTCATTTTAAGAGAGAGAAAGAGATAGATAAAGGAGGAGAGAGTTGACAAAAAAAATAAGGTGTGGGTCACACCTTTTTGTGAAAATGAAAGGATATAAGTTGTGTCATTTAAAAGGATAAACACTTTTCCCTACATTTATTTAGTGGCTTTGAAATCCCTGTTTTATGATTTGGGTTCTTATATCATATATATGTTAAAACTAAAATAATAAATCATGCACATGATTATAAAATACCAAATGACAATAAATTAGAGTTATGAATGTGTATCCCTTGTTGGATCATCACAAAGTCGGAGAAGAACGGCTGAAAATAAGGGAACAAGATGCTAGAGTCTTCCTCTTTATCGCCTATTTAGAAATTGGCAGCCTTTAGCGATGAGAACATAATTGGCGTATGGAGATGAGAACATAATTGGCTTATGGAGTTTAACTCCAATATAAATAGGCTAGAGAGGGGATCTAGCTAATAACCCAGAGAAGAGTTTGTCTCCACTGGATCCACCCATCATGAAAAATCAGGGTCACACTAAAACCTACACTGCTGTCCAACTAGGCCCAATAACAACATATTACCCCAATTCAATGTGATCACAATGAACTAGTTACAATATAATATTGAAATATTCATTAACCCGATTAATTTTAAAACACAAAACTAATTAATTAATATTGTACACATATAAATAAAAATTCTAACAATATATGGAATATACATATGAATAACAACTTACAATCGAGGTTGAGTCAAACAATATGAAACCTTATGACAAGTTCTAATTTCGGAAGTGAGATTATATATTCAATACCACAAAAATCAGCTAGCTTAAGAGTCAACTCTACCCTCTCAATAATGATAACTAGGAGTAGTAGTAGCTTGAGATCCGTATAATTCAGCCAAGAAAAGAGAGGAAAACTCAAAAATATAATATAATGTTTTTTTGGCAAACATGAATGTTGATATTTTGTCTTCCTAAATTATAAGTGAAACTTTAGGAGACAAAATCAAAGAACAACAAAAAATAAATCATTTTGCTGCTTACATCAACAGTGCAAATATAAATGGTCTAATTTGACTGAACTAAATTGGGTTACTCTTGCAGGCAAAAAGGGCTTCACATTCATTCTCAGGTGCAAATTCAGTGGAGGAAACTTACAGGCAAGCGGCTGGAGAGATTATGATATGGATCACTTAAAATTTTGATGATAAAAAACTTGTCTTCTCATCACATTTAATGTGGATTTTTGTTTTCCCTAAAAACAGTTAGAAAGCTTTTATGGCCAAACTTGATGGTTCTAAAAGCAAATGGATATATATAAGCTTTTATCTTTTTGGTTTAAAGTTTGAACTATTTTGGATGTTTTTGGAGAGTTATGTGCCAATATGATTCTTAAGGTTCTATTAAAGTGAGTTTATTTTAAAGTAAGCATTTGAAAAGATAATTATTTCTTATTTACTTGTTAATTTTAGAGACAAATTTAGTTTCAAAAAACTTCTTCTGTATAATTTACGACAGTGAGTCAATGACGGAACAACATGCCTTAGTATTATAGAATTGTCTATAATTCAGTTTGTACAATGAATCTATAGAGTTTTATTAACATTTTTAAATATGCATACTGTTAGGAATTAAATCCCTAGAAGAGAAAATCTCAGAAACTGAATTTCATTAATTTCAAGCATAAAGAAAATATAACGATTTCCCCTTCTTTATAACAAGAAGCGGTGATTATCCTAACAAACGCAAACGTAAAACGGAATCCTAAAGTTACGCAGCTGCTGCCACGTTTCTTTATTAACAGCCAGCACATCAATACAGATATGTGACTACATCATACTTTCCCTAAACAAAGTCCTTCTTCCAAGCTGGTGCTCTTTTCTCACGGGTGGGCCTTGCTACTCCCACATTGGGCCTGGCTTCCTGTATCCCAATGGCTTGAACATCCTGCTGTAAGCCCGTAACATCCGCTGCCCCTTCAAAGAAGACCTTGTCCTCAAGGTCCAAGTTCGGGTAGGCTTGCTGCAAAGCATCTGCAGATTCCCATGAAGCATCTTCGGGTACAGTGTTGGTCCACTAGATGAGAAACTGACGTTGCTGCACTCCCTTGATCGTGACTACCCTTGCCATCAGCACAGAAAGTGGGGACTGAACAAGTCTGTTGTCAATAGCCTCAACAGGCAAAGGAGAAATCGTATGAGAAGGACCATGAAACGGCTTAAGAAGAGAGATGTGAAAGGTGGGATGGATCCGAACTCCTGCTGGAAAATCCAACTGATACGAAACTGGACTGATAACATACAGCACTGGAAACGGACCAAAGAATCTTTTAGCAAGCTTGTGGTTCCTCCTCTGAATCACAGAGACCTGACGATAAGGCTGGAGCTTTACCAAGACCAAATCCCCAACAGCAAAGGAACGGTCAGTACGATGCTTGTCAGCCTGCAACTTCATCCGATTCTGAGCATGTTGAAGATTTTTTTTTTAGATTAACAATAATGTCATTGCGTTGACATAACAACGAATCCAAAGCCTCGATCTTTACAAGACCGCGAGGGTAATGAGGAAGCATAGTAGGAGATCGACCATGTAAGGCAGCAAATGGGGACATGGCAATAGCAGAGTGGAAAACAGTGTTATAATGCAACTCTGCCCAACAAAGATAGATAGACCACTGAGAATGATGATCACCACAGAAAGCTCGCAGGTACTGCTCAAGATATCGATTAGTTACCTCCGTCTGCCCATCGGTTTGGGGATGGTATGAAGAACTATGGAGTAGTTTTGTACCACTGAGTTTAAATAAGTGCCTCCAAAAACTACTCACAAAGACAGGATCACGATCTGACACCATGGTACGTGGGAAACCGTGAATCTTGACAACCATGTCAGCAAATAACCGAGCTACCATTGCAGAAGTGAAGGAAGTGGGTAAGGGACCGAAATGAGCAAATTTTGATAATCGGTCAATCACCACCAGAATGCAAGTGGACCCATTAGAATTAGGCAAACCAGTGATAAAGTCCAAGGATAAATCCTCAAAAATTCCACTTGGAATCGGTAACGGTTGAAGGAGGCCACTAGGGGCAGCCGTAATAGGCTTGATGCACTGGCAAATCTGACACTGGCGCACAAAAGCCTGGACATCAGAGCGCATGTGCTTCCAGAAAAAAGAAGAAGTGAGACGAAGGAGTGTGCGGGTAACTCCAGCATGCCCACCAACAGGGGAACTATGAGCCTCAGTGAGTAACAATTGCTTGAGGGCAGAATTGGGACCCAAGAAATATCTGGCTCGATGAAACAAGATCCCATCTCTACAGGTGATGGCAGAATCAGTGCAAGAACCATCTTGAATGGCTTGATGAATGCGTAGCAACTCTGGGTCAGAAGTATTGTCAAGCTTAATTTTAGAAACAATATCAAACTTTGGTTCTGAAATCAAGACAGAGAGTTGGCCCACCACATCACCTTCAAACTGGCGGGATAAACAGTCAGCCACCACATTAGAAATTCATGTTTTGTATTCAATCACAAATGAGTAGCCCATAAGCTTGCAAACATATTTGTGTTGCTCAGGTGTGAGGACCGATTGAGTAAACAACTCTTTAATACTGCGATGATCCGTGCGGATAGTAAAAGTAGAACCCAGTAAATACTGTCGCCATTTTTTGACAGACTCCGTGATAGCAAACAGCTCACGTATGTAAGTCGAAGCGGCAGCCATACGAGAACTAAGCTTCTTGCTGAAATAGGAAATAGGACGCCCATGTTGCAACAAAACTGCACCCACCCCTGAGCTTGAAGTATCAGTTTCCAGGATAAAAGCAGAAGAAAAATCTGGAAGAGCTAAGATGGGTGTTTCTAACATGGTTCTCTTCAATTTGTTGAATGCCAAGTCTGCTGCATCGGACCAAGTAAATTGACCATCACCTTTCAACAGGTCCGTGAGGGGAGCGGCTATCACAGCATAGTTGGAAACAAATCGCCGATAATACCCCGTTAAACCCAAGAAGCCGCGCAACTGTTTGAGGGAACGAGGTTGAGGCCACTGAAGCATTGCCTCAATTTTTCCCGGATCAGCCCGAACTCCATGAACAGAGACAATGTGACCCAAATAGTCAATTTCAGACAAAGCAAAAGCACACTTAGTCAGTTTCACAAAGAAAGAATGTCTTTGAAGACACTGCAAAACAGTACGTAAGTGATCAACATGGACAGACAAAGAAGAGCTATAAACAAGAATGTCGTCAAAAAAACAATGACAAACCTTCGCAGGAATGGGCGAAAAATATGATTCATAGAAGCTTGAAAGGTGGATGGAGCATTGGTCAATCCGAATGGCATAACAAGGAACTCATAGTGTCCCTCATGCGTCCGGAAAGCTGTTTTAGAAACATCCGCGGGTAACACCCGAATTTGGTGATATCCGGCACGTAAATCCAGCTTAGAAAAAACCATGGCACCCTTCAATTCGTCCAATAGCTCGTCAATGGTGGGAATAGGGAAACGATCCCGGATGGTGATTGAATTCAAAGCACGGTAGTCCACACACATTCGCCAGGAACCATCTTGCTTCTTAACCAACAAGACCGGGGAAGAGAACGGGCTCTTGCTTGGTTGGATAAAGCCAGCAGCCATCAAGTCAGAAACCTGCTTCTCAATCTCAGATTTCTGAGAATGGGCATAACGGAAGGGCTTGACATTTACAGGGGCAGCACCCTCCAAGAGGTGAATGGAATGATCACCACCACGAAATGGAGGTAGGCTCTGTGGTAGATCAAAAACCGAGGAAAAAGCAACCAGAACAGCCCAAATAACCTCCGGAACCTGCGGCCGGAGGTGTTGCAATTCACCAGAAATAGGACAAGGATTATCAAGGGAAGCATGCTCAGTCAATTAGAAACACGAGCTGGGACCAGGATCAGTAACGGCTGGCGAATGGTTACCTTGCAGCAAAACCAACTGGTCCTTCCACCAGAATTCCATGGAAAGAGTACTGTAATCATGAGTAACACGACCTAGCTGACTCAACCATTGCATACCCAAGATGACAGTAAACCCAGAAAGGTCAAGCACATATAGATCCACGCTAAACTCGTGACCTTGCAAAATCAAACGAACATTAGTGCACCATCTGTCACACAGCAAAAAATTACCATCGCCCAAGAACACACGCATTCGTTTACAACGGGAAGTACGAAAACCGAGTGCCTCAACTAACTGCCTCTGCACAAAATTGTGTGTGCTGCCAGAGTCTACCAAAACCAACACAGATTGCTCCATTAAAACCGCATCAAACTGAATAGCTCGAGGGTTAAATGAACCTGATAATGCATGCAGTGCAGCATCCACATGTTCCACGGCGTTGGTGTCAGAATGCCACAAAATTTCCTCCTCCGTATCCTCAGCAGAGTCAATAGGATCACCACACAGGAGGAGCATTTTAGCCTTACATTTGTGGCGAGGGTTCCACTTCTCATCGCAAGTAAAACACAACCCGAGATCCCTCTTGCGTTGCATATCATCAGGGGATACTCTCCGAATAGGTAATGGGGAGGGTAAGGTCTGCAGGGCAGTAGGAGCAGGCAGCGTAGGTCTCCCAGCAACCGGAGAAGACGAAGAAGAAGCCGCGGGTGACGTGACAAACAGTTTGTTGGACGAAAAAGGCCTCTTAGTGGTGGAAGTGAAAGAGGAGCGAAGTTTGCTGTTGTGCGCTTCATACGCAGCAGCAAGCTGCATAGCTTGATGGAGAGACGAAGGCCAATGGAGCTGAATGGCCCGACGAAGATCCGGATGCAAACCGGAGATGAAGAAGCTCATAAGTTGGTTGTCAGAGAACTCAGTAACCTGATTGATGAGACATTCGAAATCCCTAACGTACTCAGCCAAGGTTCCCTGCTGGGACAATTTGGACAGCATGCCCTTCAAATCATGGTATTCAGAAGCCCCAAATCGTTCCCTCACCGCGGCAGCGAAATCAGGCCAGGAAGTGATCTTATCACTGAGGAACACCCACTGGTACCACTCAGACGCAGCACCCTCCATGCGAAGGCCAACCAGGGAAATCTTCAAGTGATCTGGAACGAGTTGAAGACGGAAATACATCTCCGTTTTAAAGATCCAGTTATGAGGATTGGACCCATTGAAGAGAGGAATCTCCATCTTCACACCTTTCAGCAAGTGTTGCTGCTCATTGC